AAGCTGGGAGCCTCTTTTTTTTGTTGTTTGTTATTAAACAGAATTTATTTTGCTATTGTGATGTTACATAATTTTGGTTTTTGTTGTTCAGGGGCTACTCTTTCCTTCCTAATTAATCCATTAAGCTTTTGGAGGGCAGGGCTTTGAGTTCTTATTAATTGCCAATGTCCCTATCACAGAGCCATGAAAGCTCTTGGCACTCAATTGACACTTGTTTAATGAATGAAGGCAAAGTGCCACTCTAGGCTTTTTGAAAGATGATGATGAAAACTATTCAGTTGTGTTTGTAACCTGCAGTATTTTAGAGCAGCCATTTAGATCTGTGATGCAGGTTCCTGAGTTTAATAGCTTTGCTTTCACTATTTGGTTCTTAGTGAAATTCTGGAATATGATATATGAGCTGAGAACATGGGATTCATAATGTTAAATATGACTGAGGTGAACTTGGGCAGTAGTAGAATAAACAAACTAGTGCACATTAATTGAACTAATACTTACTTTCTGAAAGTTCCTTACTACCATAAATCTCATTACTTTCTAAATAAAACTAAAATCATTCCAAGAATAATTTAAGAGAATGACATAGCCTACAATCTTTATTTTATAACTCAGACACATATTTTAGCTTATAATGCCCTATAATAGAAAGAATATGGGCTTTGGAACTCAGTAAGACCAGAGCAGACAACTTAGTTCTGCTTCTTACCAGGTTTGATAGCTTGCATCAGGAACTCAATATCTTTGAACTTTAAATTTCCTCATAAGGCAAATGGGAATAGTATTAATATCTAATTCATTTGAAAAACCTGAGATAAATGAACCTTTTTGAGCTGTTTATTAGGATGATGGATTTAAATCCCTGAGGGCACCTAGCCTAGTACCTGGCACATTAATAAATGGCAGCTATTATTATTGTTTTGGTTTTGAAAATGTTTCTTTTCACTCATTACCTTCTGGCTTCCCTAAAAGTTAAGGGTATGAGCATCAGAATCTAAATAGATCTGATGTGAATTGTGGCTCTACCATTTACTAACTTACTAATCTATTTATTAACATCTCCAAGCTTCAGTTTCCTCAACTGTATGGGAAAATAACAAAATGTCATTGCAGAAATGCTTTAAAGACTTAAGACAGATCTGTTATAACTGGTCTAGCATAGAACAAGCACTCCATCAATAGCAGATATTATAATTCCTGACTATTTTATTAGAAAGAGATACAACCCTGCTATTGTTGTAAACACATGCTTATAAATACATTTTAAGTGAAAGAGGTAGGAATTTTTTTCTATATTAAGTTTCACAGCGCTTCAGAAAAAATTAATTTAATATTATAAAAATGGTTCTTGTAAATGGTATTTGTATAGTGACTTGCAGTTACAAAATACCTTTATAACCGAGAACCAGATGTCCAAATATGTTCCATCTTAGCCATTGGTGGCTCTAATCCTACAGTCATTATCCTTGCATCCCACTCTACCATCAAGATGCTTAATAATTAACAATAATGATAAACTGCAAATTCTAAGGAAGCTATTAAAAACTCAAATGTGTTATTATCATAGGCCTATATTTTTAGAAATACTTGACAGTTGAAATTGGCCAGATGAAATTGAACAATTGATCATGGATTCTCCATCTCAGCAGTAGATCTTGGAAACAGAAGCCTCCTCTGGGTTGGCTTTAACAAAAGACACACAAAAGTGGTTTCTTAATTTCTCTTTGATTTCTAGAATACTGTTCAAATTTTCCTATTCTCATTCAGGCTAAAAGTCAGCTTAAAAAAATCTGGTAGGTGGTGTCTCAAATTTATCACATAAACAAAAGCTTATGAAGAAACATGGGTAACTTTCTTAAATCTAAATCAATGCACTGAGATATGGTGAGATTAATGACATGTTATCTAAACTCAGTAGGAAAGCAATTAAGTGCTAAGAAACAGAAAGCACCTCACAGTTTCATGAGACTGAGCTGTTTTTACTATGATAATAACTGAAGCATGTGCTTAATAACTCATATAATACATTTACTTCCCTTCAATATCTACAAGGTCAAAGCCAGACATCAGCCACAACTTAAAGTGCCATTGATCTTTTTGAAAAACTGTTCAAGAGACTATCAAGAAGCATCAGGCTGGATCCTACTCAGGCACCCAGGGTGTCTCAGGGACTCTGGGGAGCACACATGTAATTTTAAACCATATATTTAAGGGTAGTGTTCCTAATGAGCCACTGGCTATACAACCATTCCTTACACAAGTGCAATAGTCCTAATTCCCAATGATCATTCTATATAGAGTTCTTGGTTTAGTGATTATGGCCTTGTAGCTAGATTTTAAAACATAGAATGCCACTTGGTAACTGAGAATGGAATAGCATTGGTCCTAGTCAATTGGGGCAACTTTTTCTAAATCTGTTCCCAGAATCCCTTACAGAGGCATGACTTTTCTACCTATTTGGTCTTCCTTTATTGCTTCCATCACCTTCTAGGAATTTTAAACCATTTACAAACTTCTTAACTATTTCAGTATTTCTATTTACTAGACTCATAATTATAATTTATATTTATGGTATCTCTGATCATTTCAAAGCCATTTTAACAATAAAATATTTTGATCTTCATTGTAATGTCATGTAAGATGAGGAAATTGAGGTGGTCATCTGACATGCCTGAGGTCACTTGAAGTTCATGCTAAATATAATACCTGCTTCATGACTCTAGATCAAGGCTCCCTTTGCCCTCATAATCCTCATAACTACTATACCATTTGCTTGGTCTTTGATTAGGTTTGTGCTAGGAATCCTTTTTCACCAGCTGTCTGATTTTTAAATATGTTAAAAACTCTGAGTTCTAGCATCATTATTGGTAAATAGGGATACCAAAACTAAATTCATAGAGATATTTTAAGGATTAATGAAATGATGTATGTTAAGTAAAAAAACCTAAAATGATTAAGTGTTCAAAATGTTAGAATCTCCAGTTCCCATCCTTGGCAATTCTTTGCCTACGGGTGGTTCTGTTAGGTCAACAGAGAATCTTAGAAGTTACCCTGGAATTCTGTAGCAGGTAGGAAAGTCACAGTATGCCTAATGTGCCAGTATGGAAGCCAAATTAATCAAGGATTTGTCAAGTATCTACTATATCCCAGCATAGATCCAAGTGCTGCAGATGCACAAACAAAGAAGTAGAAGCCAAGGAATGCTGCAGGTGACAATAAAACCTGGTGACTTTCTAGACAATGAAGAGATTCCAAGAGGGGCCAATCTGCCTTTTTCACAGAGCCCCTGGCAAATTCTCCAAAACTATGTCAAAGAGAATAAAGCAATTTTAAATCTACTTCATATCAATTTTATAGTTTATTTTTAAATAACACAATCCACAAAATTCCCAGATACGATTTTTGTAGGCAATGGCATTTTATCCAGCCTGAACTATTACATGGGGTGAAAGAGGGAAGGTGAAGGATCAATCTTACATTGAACTTAAGAATTAGGGGTACCTGTAAGTACTTCTACTGTTTCCATTGCTTATTTTATAATCACATAGTTTACAAAATAACCCAGGGTAGAAACAGCCATCAGCATTTTCTTCTCTCTTCAGTGCCTCAGAAAAGAAATACTTGAGTACAATTTTAGCCTCTAAATCACCATCCCTACAAAGTAATTACTATTCTATCCCATTTGGACTAACTCATTTAAAAAAAGTTACCTATAGTCAACTAAAAACATTTCATATTTAAAGTGTCCTCTAAGAGGTCAAATCTAGTGAAATATCAGCATAATTTACTTAAAAACTCTGATATGTGTAATAAGAATTGTAATGCATTCTGCTGTCATATATAAATAAAAAATATACATAAAAAACTCTGAATAAAGGAGAATAAATTTCATCATTATCAGTAACAACTAATTATTGCACACCTGCATGTGAGGCAATGTTCAGAATGACACAGCCTAAAGTTTAAGGTCAGATATTGTGGTCTTAATTCTGCCTCCTATGGTGCTTTTAGGCAGTGACCTGACATTGCAGGGCCGCCGTGTTCCTGTCTTGAGAATGGAGATCATGCCATCTACTGTCTAGCATATATTGAGAAAATTGAGATTACTATAATTGTTTTTTAAGTGTTCTTATCTATCAGCTCAGTCTTTCACAATAACCCAATGAGATAGATAATATTATTATCCTCATTTTGAAGATCAGAAGATTATGGCATAGAAAGTTTTAACAAAAATCTTTGTCATGGTCACCCAACTGGTAATTGGCTGAGCAGGGAGTTCAAGCTCAGGCAGGCTGGCTCCAGAGTATGTGTGCTCTGTCTGAACCTCTCACCTATGTTGCCTCCCTCCACCATCAGAGATTAGTCCATGCTTGTGTCCTCTTCCCTTGGAAATGGAAGTAAACAGTTGTTACACTGAGGATATAGGATGCACGCATGCAGAATAAAAAAAAACAAAACAATACATAATAGAAGTTGTCAGTGCTGGAAGAGAGTAATAACACAAGGTACATAGAAGTTTGGAAGAAGGGAAATTATGGGGGTGAGGGAAATCAGCAAGATTCTAGAACATGGAACTTGACTTTGGCCTTCAAGGGTAAAAAGAACTAAAATCAGCAAAGAGATGTTGGGAAAGTTGTTTTAGATAATGGGAACAGCATAGACAAGAGATATCTGCATCCAGGAAGTAAGCATCAGTTTCAGTGACGGGGGGAAAATTTCCATATGGGAGTATTGAGACTCGAGAGTGGGAGGAGAAGGTTTAAAACAATTTTGTAGAATGTTTAGAAGTCCAAAAGGATGGAAGATCTCCTGCTGGAGGCCCACTGGAGAATAAATTTCATTGTTATCAGCATGTCGTATGCACATGTGTGTGTGTGCGCTTGCTCACTCCTGCCAACCAGCACTTCCAAGGGCTGATGAGACAGCAGGTGCAAGAGCTGAGTGGAAGTTGGGGAATTAGATAATGAACTGCTGAAGTGTGTGAAAATCTCCCATACACATACCTACATTCAGACACTTCTCATTATTCCAGCAGCGATTATCTGGTTGGTGGACATTCCATGGCCTCTCCTCACTTCCTGGCTGTCTTTTCAGTTTGCTCCCTGTCTGTTAGCACCTGAAAGCAAAGTGATTTTCCAAATTAGCCTTTTTGTTTTCCCTTAGTAGCTGAAGTTAAATGTTTGTTGTGGAAAGAAGCCTATTATAGATGATAAGAACATTTTTTCATGGTACTTCCAGTCCCTTTATTAGACAATTGTTGACGAAGAACACAGATCACACTGGAGCTTAACCCTACAATATGTAATTGTTAATTCTCTTAATCAAGAATGAGCTTGTAAATTGGGAACTATGCACATGTACTTTCAGAGAATGTTCTCATTGCAGAACTTCATTTCATATTTGACTGCTGAGGTTTTTAGGTGAGAGTGGTTAAATGTGTTCTTTAAAATGTTATGTATTACATATCTTCAGACTAACTAACAAATGTAGACGATCATCTTATGATCAATCATCTTATGTTGGATGCTATTTGAATATATTAAGCAATTGCTAATTCTTTCTAAGTTATATACAGAACATTCAGAAGACCTGAGTCATTCTCTGGCTGCAGAGTTCATGTTTGAATCTAAAACTGAAGTGCTGTATTAGAGGGACAGAAAACAAGAAGGATATGGGAAAAAATGGAAAAGATTGCAATGCCAAGCTCTTTTTTGAAAAGTAATATTTAAAAACTATTTCAGACTACTATTAAGAGTAGATATGACATATAAGTAGATTATAGAAACCTAATACATCATTATCACTAATATATATTCAACAAAAGTAGACACAAAGACTTTTCGTTCTAAAATAGTCAAAAAATCCATCTTTTTGCTTAAGTTCATTGGATGCAAACATGTTTGTGGTGCAGAAACACATACACATACACACACTTTTTCAAGAAACAGAAAAGACCTAAAAAAAATTGTGTGCTTGGCTAATACCCAGCTGAATCTATTGTATCTGTTCTCTGATTAATATATTTGTATAAATTATTTACAATTCTTTCACTTTAGACCCTGTCCATTCTTTATCTCAAAACCGAATATTACCCGGGGTTCCAGAGAGAAAAATACCGCATCCAGTCATTTCAGGACATGACACAAGTCAACTTTGCCCAATTATTAGCCGGAAAACTGGATCCATTGCTTGTGGAAATCTCCTGGTACACTCACAGCCTACCTGACTTCAATATAAAATTATACCAAACAAGCCCCTACTATTCTGCCCCTCAATCTGTTGGATAAAGTAGAATGGTTTTCAAAGACGCTACATAAATGGAAATATTATAATTGTGAGTAATTAAAATGCTAAACTCAAGAGGGCACTCAACAATTCGTTACACATAGAGCTTGAACCACCAAGGGTAGTAGTAGTACCTTCAATTAGTTCAGCTTTTACAGCAGAAGATAAAGGTAACAATCAGTAATCAAGTAACAAAATAAGCTAACTTGTTTTCAAGTTACCTTCTTTCTGAAGCAGGGCTTCTGCTCTCTTTTAGATTCTTAACATTGGTACTAACTCCAGAATATAAGAAAACAACAGATAATGGAAAAATACACTTCCTTCAAAGCTTTGAGTTGATGTACTTTAGTTTTACGAGGTATTCTAATTGAGTAGTTTGAACTAGGAAGTAGCAGTAAATGATTTAAAAGAAAGCCCTTTTTAATATATTTTGTAAAATTTTATCAACATGCTGTTCACTTAACTTAAAATATTTCTTAAGAGTCAGAGTTTATGCTAAGTGTTAACATTGCACTGTAAGAACTGGAAGATTTAAAAAAAATCTATATAGTTTGGGGTACATGTATCCACATTTCATGAAAGAAAAGATTTTTGGAGTTATTCTTCATTATTCTCTAGTTGTATTTTTTTAATTGAATTGCAAAATTATTTAGACTTTTCTTGCTCAGAGCCTTCTTTATAAAGTACATAGCTTTTCATTTTTACAGACTATAACTAAAATACTAAATGGTGTTTCAGTTGTTGAAGTTTATCTTAAGTGCTTATAGACTAAATCACATGCTAAATTAGAAGTAGATCTAAAACACTAAACACAGTTTTGGATCTAAAAGACTATAGTAAAACAGATTTCTTTGCTCTGATTCAATATCAAATTGATAACCATGACCTGAGAAAGGGTTTTCTCTTACCAGCTGCCACTTCAGGAAGATATATTTAGTCTTTCAGTTAAGTAGAGAAAAGAACTCATTAGAAAGTGGTACAAGAGGTTTCAGAATGAGAAATCTCAAGTTACCAATTCCACTTTTAATGATTTGTTGCCTGAGCCCTGTACTTAATTAAAATGGTTATTTTAAATGCCTATATTTAATTTAAACATAATTACCTAAAGTTCAATGTTATTGCCTCATCCATTTTGAAATTTATTAATTTATAAAATTAATTTATAAAAAATAGTTCAAAAGTGCTATAAAATAAATATCACAACATATCAGGATTATTTGCACCTTTTGTTAGATTCAGTGGTGACTCAGAGTGAGTTGTTCACATTAGGTATCACTACAGGGTCTCTGGCATGGCTAATATATAATAGACTCAAATATTGACATGTCCTTGACAGTTCCTTTGCATTTAGAATGTACACTTTGACATTCCGGGTAATATTGCTAAGTCTATTGCTAAGAATATGATTGTTGAATTTTAAAGGGATCTAAGTTTTAGGAATTAATTTTTACTTTAGTACATTTAAGAGTAACTGCTGGTTTTAATCAATGATTCATAAACATGCAACAATCAGTGTAATGTAATTTCTTGTGAGTCAGACAAATAAGTGAACCAGAAAGTGTTTTCAAGGACAAGTTATGACTTTAACTTCTACTTAAAAACACAGCATGGTCTATATACAAGGAACCTAAAAAAGTTGTGAGGCACAACTTTTCCTAGTCTATAAAATCTGAGGCTATTCCAGTAGCCTTTCAAAGAGAGTTTCCTGGTACGCTGAAGTATAATCCTTAGTGGGCATAGTGGGCAAAGTTTCTTAGCTTTGCACATTTCTCTACTTATGATGATTGGTATCATAGTTCAGGTACTGAATACTACTTGGTCCTGAGATGAATGCCTAATAAGGTGGAATTAGGCCTGTGTTACACATGAACGAAGGGAAGCTTGCAGCAGCTGAGGTACTTTTCCAGTCTCACATAATTCATAAGTGATGGAGGATGGATACAAACCCTGGGTCCCAGCTCTGCACCTCAGTGTTCCTAGCTCCCATCCCAAAGGGCTGGGGAAGGCGTTCTCTGTTGTGAGTTGTTTATAAACACCCACTTCCTCCTCCCCACTGTCAGCACATCAACAGCACAGTGTTCTTCCATGCAGTAATATTGTGAGTTAACTGAAAGGCAAAGGCAACGTATTTGGTTTGACCACTAGTAATTAAATTCTTTTGCTTCAATGTTTCCTTTCATACCAGTATGTGCAGAATTTCTAATATTGTGTTAAAACCTGGGCTTTATAGTCTCCAAAGAACCTTAAAGGTTGGGGGAACTTGTTCCCCTCATTCTCTGACATTAGCTCAATCCTTTTTACATCCCCCCAATATGCAATTAGGTATTTTTTTAATTTTTAATTTTTTTTAGTTGTAGATGGACACAATACCTTTAATTAATTAATTAATTAATTATATGTGATGCAGAGGATCAAACCCAGTGCCTCATACATGCTAGGCAAGCGCTCTATCACTGAGCTACACCCCAGCCCACCATAAGGTATTTTAATGGAGATCAGACTGTAAAATCAGTCAGCTTCCATAAGTAAAGTGGTGTGGAATACTTCTCTCATTTTCACACTAGTACTAATCTATAACACTCCTGGATGCCTCTAAGTCATACTGTATCTCAATCTTCTCTACTGCCATCTGTTTCTGTTTCTTCCAAACATTCTCTTTGGTTCCCATTCAAGAGCTAGACCTAAGTGAGTCTCTGTAAAGAATGTGGGTAGCAAATACAAATATCCCTTCTCTTTAGATAAGACAACATTATGACAAAGCTAATTATCTATTAATTTTTACTTTACAATTTGAAGTATCCACTGTCATATTAACTCTGGATAGCCTCAGAAGGTCCAAAAGATGTGAACTATCATAGAGCAATCAAAATGAAGAGAGGCCATTTGAGGAACAAGAAGAGGCACATCTGGTTTGTTAATCTTGCTAAGGTCTTTAAATGCCACCTGTCTTCCCATTCCTCTCTGGCTAACATCATCCCTTAGGCTAAAAGCTTTAAAAATTATTTGGGGTCGGGCGTGGGGGTGTAAAAAACTTCTTGAGAAACTAGTTTGAGATTTTAATTCTGTATTTCATCTGCCAGACACTGAAATGCAGTTAGCCGCAGCAAGTGTTCCTAATAGATAAGGGAATTGTCGCTTCACATATAATTACATTGAGTCTGACGGTGGACATAGCCAACCATCTCATCGTCACACTATTAGAAGTGCCAGGAAGTCTGAAAAGAAACCATCTCGAGGAGAGTCGGGGCTACTTTTATTTTACTTCAAACCAGGGTTATCATGGAATAAAACTGATAATTCTTGTGGGAAAATGATTTTTGGAATATAAAAAAAAGGGGAGTAAAGGGTATAAAAAACTGTCGTGACTGGCAGGAAGTTCAGGCATTTTGCGTTCTTTTTTGTTTCCTTTGGAATGTTAAACAGGTTGGGTTCTTTTTAAAAGAAAACATTTTATTCAGAACATTCTCCCATGAAAGCCCTCTTTGACAAAGTGTCAGTTTTTGATATATTAGTACATGTCTGCCTACATTTTATATTCAAAAAAAGACAAGTCATGTTTGAACAACTTTTGACAAGCATGGGGATGCTTAAACTTCCATAGAACTGACTCTTTCCATGTAATGCTGTAGTCTATTTTATACTTCCTATTCTGTACCACTTCATGACATTTTCAATTATGCCAAATTGTGGTTGAAAAAAAAATTGAAGAATAATTAGAACAGGAAAAGTCAACTCATCAATAAAAATCTTTTATTTATTTATTTTTATGTGGTGCTGAGGATTGAACCCAGTGCCTGACATGTGCCAGGCAAACATTCTACCACTGAGCTA